AAAACATCAAAATATATAAATATACACTGTGCAGTGAACACTAGGGACAGTTACTTCTGGGGGTGTGTGGAAACCTGTTCATTTAATCAATTCCCTTTTCCTACCGCTGAACTGAGGGTTGGCAGCACACATTCTGGAAAGGAGCCAGCAAAACACCGTAGGCTGCCTCCTCCTCCATAACTCTGTGGCTTAGCAGCATGCGCCGGTGCCGCCTTTGCTACATCGCCAGGGATAATGAGTTGGGTCGGGCTCCTGAACTTGTTGCAAGAGCAGCTTGGCATGGCGGGCAGTCTCTGTTCGCAGAGCGGAACAGACCGCAGTAGCCCAGGCGTGCTGTGCCTTGGGATGGAGAAGCAGGAAAGGGGTGGGCGTTGGCACATTCCCTTGAAAAATCGTTGGCCTGTGCTGTGATCGGCAGAGATAGCTCAGGATGGAAGAAGTCTGACACTCGGATTTCGAGTGAAGATGGGTGGCTTTTCTGGAACATTCTTGCCTTTGCTTCAAACAGGTTGAGTCGTGTACAGATGAAAGAGGAGGGGCTTTCTATTGCAGAGTGTAAGATAGAACTGCTTGAAATTCTTTACATGTTAAGTTGTCTTTCCTTTTTCACAACAAAACGATGCAGAATTATAGAGCTCGAAAGGACCTTGCAGTTTAGCCGTCACTTGATAAAATAAATCTAGAGGTGTAGCATCATAGGGGTACAGGAGACTGGCTTGTAATTAAGGATGGGGGAAGAAAAATAATACTCACTGAATTCCTCTTTCTCATCAAACGAGGCTGCCTTGATGAAAAGACTCCTGAATTAAGAATTTCCAAAGCCTACAGACTACATCCCAAAATTACACCTTTTGCTTAGCAGCTCAAGATGATTTTAGCCATAATGCTGAAGGAGTCTGAAAGTTGCTTGGATGATGCTTTTGCACTAACTTTTCCAGAGTGGCAGTGGGATTCTGAATTGGCCCTCCACCAAAGTAACTTTCACCACTTTGGGAGAGCACAATGGATAGGACTACCTCAAAGGTCTACATCTCTGTTCTATGAACCAGATGTAGGTTTTCTATAGAGCTTATGGGTGAGAACCACCCTGGAATTTATGAGCCAAAACCATGTTCCCATCATAGCTATGGAAAATGCCAAGAATACCAATAAAATTCTGCATAGCTTAGAGGGTTTCCCATATAATTGATCATTTGCAGCTACCAAGTAGGGGGTTTCTGGAAAAGGTACAGAGGTAGACAAAGACCGCTTCCCCCCCCCCCAGGTCAACATGTGCGCAATTTTTGCAAAATGTCTCATCCGGTGGTCTACGCAAGACTTGGATTGTTTCTTATTCATTTATTTCTTATTCTTTTATTTAAAATATTTTTACCCCACCTTAAAAAAGACCCAAATCTGTTTACAACAAGGGAAAACAATATGTAAAAACTAAAAACAGTGAGTATACAAATATTTAAGAAGAATTAAACCAGTGGTTCTTAACCTTTGTTACTCGGATGTTTTTGAACTGCAACTCCCAGAAACCCCAGCCAGCACAGTTGGTGGTGAAGGCTTCTGGGAGTTGCAGTCCAAAACTCCTGAGTAACCCAAGGTTAAGAACCAGTGAATTAAACAAGGGTTCTATTAAAAATGGTTTATAAAATCAGTACTAAAAACACATTTAAAAACAACAGGGCACAACCATCTATTTTAAAAAAAACACCTTTCAGGCTGATGGTCACTAAGCTGCCCAGAGGTAGAATATAACACAGATGGGTGGGATATAAATCAAATCAAATCAAATCAAATCAAATCAAATTAACTAACTAACTAACTAACTAACTAACTAACTAACTAACTAACTAACTAACTAACTAACTAACTAACTAACTAACTAACTAACTAACTAACTAACTAACTAACTAACTAACTAACTAACTAACTAACTAACTAACTAACTAACTAACTAACTAACTAACTAACTAACTAACTAACTAGAGTTCCACAGTCCAGGAGTAGCCACAGGGGAGGCCCTCTCCTGGCCTTCAGATGTGAAGGTGGTGGGACTGAGAGGAAGGCCTTCCCTGATGATCCTAATGCCTGGGCAGGTTTCATCGAGGGAGATGTGGTATTTGAGATAGCTTGGACCCAAGCTGTTCAGGACAAGAAGCATGCACTGCAAGCAAAGGATGATTGCCATTTTCTTCTAACGTTCAATGATTATTTTCCATTTGTCTTTAGAAGCCCCCATGGAAAAGGCCCTCCCTGACTCACATGATCACCTTGCTGATCATGATGGGATGGGCTCTCTGATCCTCATCCCAGCACATGGACCAGTTTCTCTGTTTGTAAACATCATAGGGGCTCTAAGGCGGTGATTCCCAACCTTGGGTACCCGGCTTTTACAGCAGTGATGCCCAACTTTGGATCCCCAGATGTTTTTGGACTGCAGTTCCCAGAAGCCTTCACCCCTCACTGTGCTGGCCAGGATTTCTGGGAGTTGCAGTCCCAAGAACCTCCGGGGACCCAAGATTGGGAACCCACTGCAAGGTTGGGCAACAGGGACTTTCTTGATATTCCTGGCCCACAACTCCCTGGAACCCCAGCAAGAACAACCCCATGATCACGGATGATGACCCTTCTGGTGAGACCATTTTTGGAGGGCCCAACCTCCCTCTCTTCACTGTACAGTGGTGGCTCGCTTAACGGCGATAATCCGTTCCAGGAAAATTGTTGTTAAGCGAAAACGTCGTAAAGCGAAAATAAAAAGCCCATTGAAAACTGTTCAATATGTTCCAGTGGGCTAAAAATTCACCGTCCAGTGAAGATCCTCCATACGGCAGCCATTTTCAGTGCCTGTATAGCAAGGAATCCATCCCTAAGCACAGCAGGGAGCCATTTTAAGCACTCGGTGGCCATTTTGAAAACCCAGCGATCAGCTGTAAAGATTGTTGCAATGTGAAGAATGGGTTCCCGAAGCAGGGAACCGATCATCGCAAAGCGAAATTCCCCCATTTAGACCAGCGTTTTGTGACTGCAAAAGCGATCACAAAGACGTCGTCGTGAAGCGGATTTGTCGTAATGCGGGGTAATCGTAAAACGGGGCACAACTGTATTAGGTGTGACCAGTGAGTAAAAAACAAAACAAAACCGATGTTGTGTTTATGACAGGTCCCTGGGTATCGGCAGGAGCGGGTGGAGAAGGGCCTGAAGTTCTTTGCCCAGCTCATCAACAACAAAGTCTTCCTCCTGTCCTTCATCCGCACTCTGGAGTTCCAGCGCAGCTTCTCCATGCGAGACCGGGGCAACGTGGCGTCCCTCATCATGACGGTGCTGCAGAGCAAGCTGGAGTATGCCACCGACGTCCTCAAGCAGCTCCTGGCCGACCTCATAGACAAAAACCTAGAGAGCAAAAATCATCCCAAGTTGCTACTTCGGAGGTAAGTAGCTGGGCCAAGCCATGATCTAGCAGGGACGGTTGGGGGCCACTTCCGATGCTTGCTCATGCGGGCTGCTGGGTGGATCCACTATTGCATGGGAGCCGAGCAACCATCAAAAGAACAAAAAAACTTATAAGTTAGTGCCATGCTAAGCAGCACTGGATTTGGAACCGCTTTGATATGGTGCAGAGAGAGATTGTGTCTATTTCAGCTGGATCCTGGTGGGACTAGATTTGCCTGCAGAGGTTCTGAGTTTGCATTTGGAAAAAGATCACTCCCTGATGGAGTCTCCAGCCTCCCCAGTTACCTTCAGGATGATGGTGACGATGGCACGTTTGCATGTCCATTAGTACCTCCAAGAGCTACACAATGACAATAAATAAAAATTAGAAATTAAATGTAGATAGTAAGATTTGTTGTTGCTCAGTCGTTAAGTTGTGTCTGACTTTTTGTGACCCCATGGACCAGAGCACGCCAGGCCCTCCTATCTTCCACTGCCTCCCGGAGTTGGGTCAAAGTCATCTTGGTCACTTCGATGACCCTGTCCAACCATCTCATCCTCTGTCGTCCCCTTCTCTTCTTGCCTTCACTCTTTCCCAACATCAGGGTCTTTTCCAGGGAGTCTTCTCTTCTCATGAGATGGCCAAAGTATTGGAGCCTCAGCTTCAGGATCTGTCCTGAAGATAAGAACAAGATAAGATACTGTAGTAAGATAAGAACATCCAATTCTCAATGAAAACATTTACAACTTATTATCAAATTGGACATGACAAATAGGGTCCAAACCCACTTCATAGCATAGGTCCCTAAAAACCTTGGATCCCCCAGATGTTCTTGGACTGATATTCACAAAAGCCTTCACCCCTCGCTGGGCTGGCCAGGATTTCTGGGAGTTGTAGTCCAAGAACATCTGGAAACTGGAAACCACCATTTAAGGTAGTTGAGGTTAAGAGGTTTGGTTTCACTCTAATGATAGATTCCTTCCCTCCAGAAGTTGCCAATTAGGCTGTTTCCATTTACTAAGTCATCAGCAGATAAACCTAGGTTTTGATCTGGAAGCTCTGAAGGACGGAATCTTCAGGGGATAAACATCTCATCATCTTCTAATTGCAAAGCTACCATTTCTCTAGTTCAGTCTCCCCAGCTCCCTTTGAAAAGGCCGTGGTGAAGACGTGGCATAGTTGGTTCCTCCTAAATACATATATAATAAATATTTGCAAATGTTCTCATCCTTAGTGGGAAAGGGTCACTTGGTTGAAACCCCGCTGAAATATTTGTCCATTCCTGTGAGGTTTTTCAATAAGAAAACCCCCATACTTTTTCTTATTATCATCGTTGCAAAAACTTCATATTTTGCCATAACTCTGTTGAGCAACCCCCAGGAAGGTATCAGACGTAGGGAGAGGTGGAGAAAATGCCTGCACTGAGGATAATGGCTCTACCTCCAGAGGGTGATCATGGTGGAGACAGATGGTCAGGGTCACATGCCTGCCTTTCTTGCTTAGATTGGTTCTCTCCGGGATGACGTCACTTCCTTTCCACCCTCCGCCATCATCTTTCTTATCTCTCCAAGGATATCGCTGGCTGGTAGCATCTCCAAAGTGGTCCTTCTGCCCTTGGAACAGTGGCCCTCCAGATGCTCTGGAGTATTGATCCATAATCATTCAGTGGCTAAGGCTGATGGGAGTTGGAGGCTAACATCAGCTGGAAACCCATAGTTGTCAACTCCTTCTCTAGTTGTGCGTGTTATGTGCCATCAAATTGCTTCCAACCTATGGCAATGACATTAGAATGGTCTTGTCACTAACAACTCTGTCCGAGTCTTGTACATTAAGGGCTGCGGCTTCCTTCTGCTCTAGGTGAAGTTCCTGGAGCTTTCTCTTTTGACTCTAAATAATCTCTGAAGCTTAACTGAGCAGAGCATATCCATGTCCGTCTTAAAATATCTGCAGTGCTGTTCACCTCCGATGGCTCAAGGCAGAGGGCATTTTTCAAAAATGTAAAACTGCCGTGAGTTATAGAGAGGAGGTATGTGTGTATGTGTTTGTTTGTTTGAAGGGTTGTGTAAAATACCCACATTTTAGTTCTTAGCATTTTAAGACCCAGAGTCTCTTTTGCATCTCCTGTTGAGGTTGCATTCCAGCTGGTGAGAGGTATCTCCACAGCATGCTTACTCCACTACATCGTTCGCTTTGCCAAGACAAAATCTTGAAGCTTCAGTGGTCTATCTGAAGGTTTGTTACAGTCCCAGAGGAAACCGACATTTCTAAGAGCTTTATACTGCTACAAAATCCAGACTCTCTTCCTGGACTTCAGAAGAAGGGCCTGAGATTTATGGCAGCTTGAACAGATGTTGGTATTTTCCTGGAAGTCCTTTGTCAGACCACTGGAGAAAGGGACGCCAGCTGTGCTCTTTGCCTGGATGGATTTTCTGTCACATACACGAATAGAATCTTCTTTGTGTGTGTGTGTGCAACAGCTCTTCTATGTGTAACTGAAATGATTTTTTCCTAAAGGACCATGAGACTCAGCAGGTCACTCCGTGGCTTGGACTAGAACAGACCACCTCAGAAGGAGAGCTGAGTTATCTGACAGACTGTGCCATTGCATGGATATTTAAGCTGACTTTTGAAAGTTCATGAGAATAAGTGTTAGCCAGACAATTATCTTCTCCATATATTTTCAGTCTGCCCTTTCCCACCCACCCTCCAGAGCGATTCCTGTGGATTGAATCTGTCCTCTGTGCATATGGAGAAGTTCTTTCTTCCTTTCTTCCTTTCTTCCTTTTTCTTCCTTTCTTCCTTTCTTCCTTCCTTCCTTCCTTCCTTCCTTCCTTCCTTCCTTCCTTCCTTCCTGTCCTTCCTTCCTGTCCTTTCTTTCTTCCTTCCTTCCTTCCTTCCTTCGTTTTAATTCAGCGCGGTTAAAAAGCGAGTCATTCTTGCTGCCCTGCAGAGTTTGGGCTGCTCAGAGCAACGCATCTCTGTTTCAGTTTGTCTTACTTGCTCAGAACTCAACTCCGTGCTAATATAAAGCTAAGACACAGCCATCTTCATGGCATTTTGGGTCTATCATCTGCTCTTGAAGGGCTGGCTTAGTATCTCGCACTCCCTGCCTGCTTACCCAGCATGGTCAAAGTGAGCAAGGCCATGTTCATTCAACTGGTGTACTGAGAAATGGCTGAACTCCTGAGAGCTCTCAGAAGCTCTCAGACTGCTTGGAATGCGTGTCACCTTCTCTTCTTCATGGAAGGAAAGTGGGAGGGGAGCAACGCCAGATCCTTACTGCAGAGCTTCGCCAGCTTCTCCTGTCTCTTCCTGGAAGAGACAAACAGAGCCGTAATTTGAGGGTGTGGCTCTGATCATCCCCAATACCTCTTGCAATGTATGATAGGACCACATTTTCTCTGGCTGGCCTACCCGGGACTGCCAGAAAGATGCACAAGTGGGTCCTCGATCAAATCAACCCTGAACGTTTTTGTGTGTCTTTTAGAGACCTCTGATGGGTGTGATTTCTATCACCACCAAGTCTCCCATTTTATTTAGACGCCAGCTCGTTATTTTTGTGCCCAGTTCATGGGGAATAAGTTTCAAAGGGGTGGCTTCAACTCTTTAATAAAAAGATTAGTTACATCA